CCGACTGGCGCGTCGAGGTGTAGGAAGCGGGAGCCGAACTCGCGGACGACGGGGCACCGGGCGTAGTGCTCGATGCTGTCCTCGCACGCGCACCCGAAGATACATCGACCCTGCTCTTGAAAACGTCGGCTCGTGACCCAACCATTCCACCAGGCGCGCAACACTGCGGCCCGCGCCCGCGCCGGGAGGTAAGAACTCAGAGACGGCAACACCAGTAGTGCTCGATCAGCGCGGACCCGTTCGAGCAATCTCATATCGTACCGCGTCAACCGTCGCCGCATGAAGAGTTCGAGGGTGGCACGGGTGGACGGCTCAACAAAAGCCCGACATGTCTTCTGCCACTGGCGCCGGAGAGTGAGGAGGTCCTCCGGGGAACGAGGACGAGGATGCCCCAGGATTCGCGCTTGGATTCGCTGGGCCCCGAAGCCGGCCTCCGTGAAGTGGTCGACGGCAGAATCCAATTGAAGAACGAATGCGGATGCGAACCACGACGCCATGACGTGCTGTCGCTCCAACTGGTTCGATCGAGATGCAACTGCCCGGAGCTCCCTTGCGCGAGTGCGGATCGCCAGCCCGCCGTGGAGCCTGTTCTCGAAAGTGGCGACCCGGTGCTTGGCTGCGAGCGCGTGCGCGTCGAGGTCAAGCAGGCCGCCCTGGAAGCCGAGGTGCGGTAGGGCCCGCAAGGCGTCGACCGTGGCCCAACACCGCGGACCTGGGAACAGCTTGGAAGCCGCGGCCCGTTCGAAGCAGGCCCATTCGGGCGGAGGGGCATCCAGCTGGGCAACGAAGAGGACGGTGGAGAAGATGCACGTGCGGTACGCCAGCAAAGTGAGCTGCAGTCCACAACCAACCTTTCCCCAAGCAGCGGCGCGCTGACGGTATTTGTCCAGCGGTTTGTCCCACGAGGTCGTGCCGCGGCCAGGCCCTAGAACGAAGCCGAGGTACTCCGCCGAGGTCGCGACGCGAACCCCTCCCCAGGGCGGTGCTGCCCTCGCCAGCCGGCCCCGGAAGGTGTCCAGGGGTTCCAGGTGGAGCGGGATGATCGCGGTCTTCCCCAGATGGAGGTGCAGGCCGGAGACAAGGGCATACTCCTCGAAGATCTGCTCCAAGACCCGCGCGTCCCCGACGCCAGAACGGGAGACCAAGGCCAGGTCGTCCGCATACGCGCGCAAGGCGGCCGTGGGCAGGAGGCGGCGTAAACGTCGGAGGAGGAGGTCCGCCGCCACCGCGAAGAGCAGCGGCGAGAGCGGACACCCCTGACGAATGCCGGCCGTAATGGCAAATCCGTCGTGGCGTGCCCCCGCGGCGACCACCTGGCAGCGGTTCTGAAAATAGAGTGCCCGCACAAATCCCAAAATGCAGTCAGGAAGCCCCAGATGCTCAAATAAGTCCAACATGAAGCTATGGTCCACGCTCGGGAAGGCCGCCTTGAAATCGAACATGACGGCAAAACCATCGTCCTGCTCGAGCGCGGTTCGCTGCATCTCCAGGTCGATGTCGATCACGTTTGCCAACATCGACCGCCCGCCGATGAAGCCACGCTGCTGTGGAGAAACCCATTTCGCCAATATCGGCTCGATCCGTCGGCGCACTGCGCTGGCGAGGATGCGATTGTCGAAGTTGGCGACCGTGATCGGCCGGGTGTGCTCCGGGTCGTAGAACTCCCCCCATCGATCGTCGAAGCCAGACACCTTCTTGGGGATGAAGAAAATCAACGACTCGTTGAAAGAGCCGTAGTCCCGCTCCAAGACGGTCAGGCCACCAGTCCGCGACATCTCCTGGAGTGCTCCATGCAGGACCTGCTCGGCGAGAGGACCGAGGGCCCTCCACGTAGCTGCGGGGATCCCGTCTGGGCCAGGAGTAGACGAACCTGAATGGGCAATCGCATCCCGAACGTCCCGACGCGATGGGGCCCACCTCGAGGACGATGCTGGAGGGAGCGACCTCGATCTTGCAGGCAAGTCTTCAGCAAACCACCTCGCTCGAAGTGCAGAGTCCGTCGGGCGCGCCTCGAACACCTGGGCCCAATGCTCGCGGAGATCGGCTGCCATGGCGTCTGGAGATGTGTGAATGTCTCCCCTCAGGCTCCGAGTGGCCGTCAAGAACTTCCCTCGCCCAGGAACGAGGCGACCCAGCAGTCTGGAATTGCGAGCTCGGCGAACCGTCGCTTCCGCATCAGAGAGGTTCGGCAGATCGTCCCGGAACGCGGTGAGCTCCCGGACAGCCTGGTCCCTCGCCAGAGCGACGGCGTGCTCTCGCACAGCCGCGAGGGCGCCGCCTTCCCGAAGGGAAGTGCAATACGGGTTGGGGACGAGGTCGGCGAGGTAGGGGTACGACGATATGCACCTGCCGATCGCGGAGACGGAAGAGTTCTCCACCGCACGGATGAAACGCATGCTGCAGCCGAGCCTGTCCTCGACCGTGTGCGCGGAGACCGCGCGCCCGTCGGTGACCATCTCAAAGCTGACTTCCTGGACCGCCTGCTTCAGCAGCGGGAGGCGAGCCACTGCCGAGAGAGAAGGGGCCGTGTCGAGCAGGTCGTGGTATCGCAAACTGACTCGATGAAACCACTCAGGGCGACGGACGACGTCTGCTGAAACTGGACGCGTACCCAGCCGCGATTCTGCGGCCTGGCGGCGTTGGAAGAACATGGCACGATGGTGTGAAAGATGAGGCACCCACTCTCGGACCCCGGCCGTGATCTGCCTGTCCAGCAGTTCGCTCCCGTCCATGTTGGTGTAGATGCGGTCCAGGCGGGAGCGGGCTGAGGCCGAGTCATGGGTCATGGCCCCCTGGGACATCTCCTGAAATTTCGGGAGAAGACGCCTCCAGTGGGCCTCCTCCGCGCGATCACGAGCGCCAGCAGTATGGCCAGTGCCCTTGGAGACGCGGTCGTGGTCGTCTACCACCCAGTTGAAGTCGCCGCTGATGATGCACAGAACCTCCGTGGAGCCCCCGACATTCTGAGCGATCGAACTCCGTAAGTCAGCCCGCTGCCGGCGGACCGAAGCGTAGTGCGCAGCATCCTCGCCCAAAGCCTCTGCCGGGCGCATCTGCGGCGCGTGACCTGTGTGGAAGTATCCCACCACGAGTTCCAGCGTGCCGCGAGGGCCCCTCAAGCGAAGCCGAGCGGCCCTACCAGGAGATATGACAAACCAATCAAAATGCAAGAACTTGTCGAGAAATTCCTGCCGGACCACAATGCCGACCCCCGCAGACTGTGACGTGCCGTGGGACCACCAACCGCGACAGCCATTCGGAGGTAAAGCTAATGGGAGCGACTCCTCCGTGCCATGCGTCTCTGTGATCGTGATCACGTCGTGCTGGGAGGTGAGCCGGCAGAGGTAAGCCCACTTGCGGCCGTGAGTTGCGACGTCCGCTGCAAAGAGGGCTTGCGCGTTCCAGGTGGCAAGCGAGATGTCCCCCGTATACGGGCACCGCAACGAGGTGGTCGAGGCGGGGGTGGCGGTCCTCACGGCGCCCTCCGACGGCAGGTTCGTAGTGGAAGTCGGCGTTGTACGTGACCTGGGGCCGAGGGCGCGACGGAGTCGAGCAACTTGTAATACTGATATTGGCACGTCAGTCCGGGCCTGTTGAGAAAGTGCGTGCTCCTGAGCAGTAGGTTGGAGAAGAAGAGGCGGAATACGAGGTGGAAGATCGCGTGGGACATCGCGGACGGCGGCGGCAGCGGCAAGTTGTGAATTAGCCTCCGCGGCGACATTGGCCGTGCAGGTCGTGCCGATCGGAATGGGCAGGAGCTGCAAGACGACATCGGCGAGGAGGGACATGCAACCCGAGCGCGATACCGCCCAGGAGGCCCCTGGCGGGGCGTCAAGTGTCGCATCGCAGGGAGGGGGGATGGCTAGCGCGCCACCCCCCCCGCAGCGTTTCCCGAGCCTGCGAGCAGACGCTGCGCATCAGCCAAGTCATTGGAGACCTGTATCCCCACGAGGTCCGTGCCAACCTGAATCGCCTTGCCGTGCAAGGCCTCCTGGACCTTCTGAACGTCGGCCGCGTCCTTCAGGTATAAGCGAACCCGTCCCGGGGGAGCTCGGGGAATATCAGGTTCTGGATCGAACCGCATCACCGATGCATCGGCGAATTGGCGTCATCCTGCAGCACATTACTCCGGCCCGAATTTGGGCGGTCTGAGAGGCCCCTTTTCCCCGAGGACGCGTTTCCTCACTTTTGGACACCCGACAAGGGTACGGGAAAAATCTGTACTTTGCCCAATTATTTTTGTCTAACTCCGGCAGCGGCCGCTGCTGGGCAACCGGCCGTCTGTCTCAAACGGACAAGGCCCGCGGCGGCACAGACAGCGAGCCCTGCTCAAGATGGACAATAACTGCTGTCAATATTCGTCCCCATTGTTTCCGTACTCATGTCGATCGTGCCGATTCATGGCGAACTCTGGCATTAAAAAACGCGTCCTGAAGGAAACGGTTCCTGGACCTTGGGGCCTCCCTCGGTACCAACTCTTCATCCTGACTCGTTTCATGTCGGTTTGGGGGCCCCATCAGGGCCCCAGGAAGCTGAATACTGCCAATTACCTTCAGGCCCCGTCTCCATCTGACTCCTTTTCTTCATTTAGATGAGGATGGTGTGATGGTAAAATTGGTTCAGGATGCGTCTCAGGACTCCCAGAGCATCCAGCGACCCTCGTTTTTGCAACCCCTGTGAAACATCCGGAAATTTGGGGAATGCGGGCTGGGAATCTTGGAACTGGGCAAATCAAAATAAACTGATACCGCCACTCCCTGGACCTTCCCCGGACTGCGTTCTGACCAGGATTTCGAGGCGCATCCAGCGGTGGCGACGAGCGCCTCCCAGGAGGCCCCCAACAATGGGGGAACACGAGGGAGGGGTAGCGCTGGGTACCCTCTCCTCCTCCGACGAACGTGCGGGTTGCCACGATCTCGTGCTCCTCTGACTCCTGGCGAGGCCGTGGCTTGGCGCGCTGCCTGCCGACCGGGAGACAGCCGGGGGCGAGCGCGGCGCGCCGTGGCTGCTCTGGCCATGCCGTACTTCTCGAACAGCCGCCGCATGCGGTCCTGTGCCCCGCCGCCGGCCAGCTGGTCGTCGTCGTCGTCGTCGTCGTCGTCCGTCGTCCGTCGTCCGTCGTCGTCGTCGTCCCGCGCTTCCCGCGGCTGCCTTGACAGAGTGGTTGCCTGTCGTCGCTCCTTGCTTGCTAGATGACCAGCAGCGCGCGCGTCGTGGGCGCTTGTGCGCCCCAAGCAACGCACACACGGCGAGCAACGCCAGGCAACCACTCTACCAGGACGCTGCACATCCCTGATCTGTGCAACTCGCATAGTGTCTGTTTTTGAATGGGCTGGAGGGGATACGCGAAGCATCAATGATTCTGTCAACACGTGGGACTTACAGAAAATTATGAAACACCTTGCGACTTCCTGTGGTTTCTGACTGATTCAATTCCTTGGAAGTCTTGCGGGTACTCTGGCGGTGTCGTGGGGCCGTCTTGGAGGCGCTGGGAACTTCCTGGGGGAACCCTGGGGCCTCTTGGGACCGTCTTGGGGCCCTCTTGGGCCGTCTTGGGCTCTCTCGTGGAGCTGTCGAGGGGCAGCGTTGGGGTACCTACGATGAGGATGAGAATAAGAAGGAACAACATCAGGGAGGAGCACGGAGGAGGTATCTCCTCATCCTCTTCCACCTCCTCCTCCAAACCTCCTCCTTCTCCCCTGTCTCCTCCTCCTCCTCCTCCTCCACCTGCGCCTCCATTCCATCCCTCTGTGGGAGTCCAAACGCATCAGCTAGAAGAAACCGCCAGCCAGGGCCGCCCAACCCGATGTTCGCAGAATTGTTTCTGCTGTTCTTCCTCATCCTCCGTGACCTCCCTCTGCTCCTTCTCCTCCTGCTCGTCGGCGTCATCCTCGTACTCCTCCCTTTTTCTCTTTCTCCTTCTCCTCCAGCATCCTGGCTCCTCCTCCTCCTCCTCCTTATATTTCTCTTCCCCCTTCTCCTTCTCCAACCAATTCCTCCGACGTCTGCTCCGCTTTCTCCCCCTCCTCCTTCCTCCTCTTTGCGGTCATGTCCTTCTTGTCCTTCTTCTTGTCCCTTCAGCCTCCTCCTCCTCATCGTTCACTCTTCCCTCCTTCCTCTCCCTTCTGCTCGCCATCCCTATGCTCCCTGACTTGTTTTGCCTCGCACACTTGCACACTATCAGATCTATGTTCCTCTTCCCGGGATACTTTGTTATGTGTGGTTGTTGTTCGCCTCTCTTACGTGTGGTATCCACGCTCAAGATGCCACATACCTTTTTGAACGAGTAGGTATACACATACAAGTACACACATGTGTTTCGGTCGGAACGTTTTCCGCCATTCGAAAATGAGGCTCTTGCTGCAGCGTTGGCCACATGGGATCTGCGCTGTGCCCCCGTCCTTCAGAATGGCGCTCCCGCTTCAGCGCGGGCCGAACTTCTGAATCCGATTCGTTGCGCGTCGTTGCCATCCCCCTCCTTTACCCTTCTCCGCGTTCCGCTGATCGTCCTCCTCCTGCTTCTCGTCCTCATTCCACATCATTATCCTGCTCATCCTCCTGCTCGAACGCCTTTTCCGCTCTTTTTCCTTGTAGAGAACTCCTCCCTGTCGCAGCCCAGACGTGTCAGAATCGGTAGCGCGGGCAGGGCGTTTGGACTGATGCTTCAGGAACATGTATGATACTGAAGCTTGAGATGAACAGCAATACCACAGATGCAGGAGGCTGGGCTTTTCAAACTTTGGAAACCGCCTTAGCGCTGCGCGCGTTCGTCTTAGAAGCTTGCAGCCGCTACAAAAACAGATGGGGGTTAGTTTCAAGATGCAACTATTGCCTTAGCGCCGTGCAAGTTTGTTCGATAAACTTGCAACACTTACGCGGGTGGAGGAAAGGTGTTTTCAAACTGAGATTCTCGCCTGGAACGCTGTGAAAACCAGAGCCCCCCCAACCCCAAATTGACCTTGTCTCAACGTCTTGACTGTAGCGCTACTAGAGGCCTCCTAGATAGGGTCCTAGTAGATGGTGTCGGAGGACCGATCCAGCCGCATAGCCGATGCATCGGCGATGTTTGCGATGCATCGGCGACGTCGGCGTGGAGAAAGAAGATCGGCCTCCAGAACGCGCCGCATCGCCGATGCAGCGGTGATGTGGCGCGATCCTCCGACCTCATCCGCTCCGACCCCACCTGGGAGGCCCAGAGCGCCTCGCCCCCCCCTTCTCCTCCTGGACAGAGCGGACGCGACGGCGCACAGCGGCCTCTCGAAGGTCGCCGCCGACGGCCGCCGCAGGACGACCGACGTCGCCGACCGACGACGACGACGACGACGACGAACGACCCACGAACAACGGCCACCGACCGATGACGACGGCGGCGGCGGCGACGACGGCGGTGACGACGCGGCCCGCCTGGTACTCTGCAGAATGCGCGCTCCGCACCAGCTCTGGGGACCGGCTCCGGTCGCGTCTGGGGTCGGCGCCCCGGCGGGGCTGGACCGCGGTCTCGTCCTGGGCGCGGGCCGCCGAAAAGGAGATACTTGGGAACGCCATCGGACCACAAGAAATGATCCCGGCCAGGCCTATCCCGGGCCCAGGATGGGTGCATGCACCAGGCCAGGAAGAGGTTTGCAGCGATGCTGGGCACATGATGGGTAAAGCCAGGACGGGTTTGGGTGTCTAATTGGCACCCTCCGGGAGAAGGGCCGCGAGGGAAAACGGGCCCTGGACCCCGGGGCCTTTCCCCGGTGCCAGTTCTTCACCCAGCGCATGTCTTACAATCTTGGGGCCCGCGGAGTGGAGGGCCCCAAAGCAAGGAAAAACCTCTGGGATCCATTTCCTCTAAGATCCTTTGCGGGCAAGGGAGTGGGACGAGGAATTCAATAGAATTCGCCGATGCGCACGACGTGGCAACAACTTCAGCTTTCCACGACTCTAGGTCGGGCTCCCGCCAGATTTCCTTTCCTAGCGGACCACCGAGAAAATCGAGGCGCCTTGGAGGCCAGTAGGCCAGGGAAGAAGGGGGTCGTCCTTGCTCTCCTCCTCCTCTTCCTCCTCCTCCTCCTCCTCCTCCTGCCCTCCTCCTTTTCCTCCTCCTTGTCCTCCTCGTCCTCCTCGTCCTCCTCCTCCTCCTCCTCCTCCTGCTCCTCCTCCCCCCGCCTCCGTCTCCGCCTCCGCCTCCACCTCCGCCGCCGCCTCCGTCCTCCGCTTCCGCCTCCGTCCTCCGTCCTCCTCCGTCCTCCTCCGTCCTCCTCCGTCCTCCTCGTCCTCCTCCTCCGTCCTCCTCCTCCTCCTCCTCCTCCTCCTCGTCCTCTCTCCTCTCCTTGTCCGAGCGCGTCCTCCCCGTACAATCCCGGGGCCGATGAGCACATCAGGATCGCCGGGGAAACCCCGCCAGCGGAGCTGGCAGGAGGTCGGCGCACGACCAGCCGCCGTCTGGAGCCGGCGACCAGCAGAACTGGCGGAGGGCGGCGGGGGGGTTCGGGCGCCCAGGCCCCCTGGGAGGTCCCCCTCCGGGGATGAGTGGCGGGCTCGGGGTGCCTCCTCTCGCTGGGCCCCACCGGCTCGGGGTCTCTGTGGCTCCTCCGACTTGGTGCCCCTCACCCTCCTGGGGCCCCGGGGGGCCCGCACAGGCTCCCTCGGGCCCGCGACGCCGCGAGCGCCGCTCGAGCACGCACCAGCGCTTGCCACCGTCGGCGGCCCCCGCGGCGGCGCCAGTCGCCTGATCCCGGGGCGCGGCTGGTGCAGGCCCTCGGAGGCGGGCCTCACACTCCCGTGTTCGGGGCGCGACGGCGCCCTTCGCCTGCCTCGGAGAGCGCGAGGGGTGGGGGAGCGGGGGCCCGACTGCTGTCGCGCGGGGCCCTCTCAGTGGGGGCTGCTGGGGCCCGCTGGGGGCCCCCGCGGCGCGCCCCCTGCAATTTGTTGTCCGTCTTTGTTCCTGGGGAGATTCCTCCTCGGGTAGGGGCGGCAAGGGCGCAGCTGCCACCCCGCAGGCCAGCTATGTCTCCATTGAATTCATAAGACCTTGGGCGTCCTATGATGTTCGTCCTCTTCATCTTGTCCCACTGGGGCAACATGAAGAACACTTGCGCTCGCGTTGAGCGCGAGCGCCGGGAGGGCTGGACTCTGGACCCCGCGCTGGGAAAGTGTCAACAGCAATCGGGGTGAAACTGCAAGCCCCCGTGGTGGCGTGGGGGGGCGGGGGGAAGGAAGACTCGAATGATCCCAAAGTGCCACCTACGATTCAGCAGTACAGTCGAACCTAGGACAGAAGAACATCCTTCAAAAACACAGGACCCTCCGCTGGCCAAAAAGCACAGAACATCCAAGGGTACCCTCCTCAGGATGCACAGTAACATCCAACAAACACGTTTTGAGTCGCCGGCGAGGCAGCGTTGGTTGCACCAACGATCAAACTACACGGTGGCACCGAAAAGCGAAGTGGCCAGCATGCAAGGGTGGAAGGCAGAGAACATCCAACACACACGAAGAACATTACGGTCCGACGGTACACTCTCCCATCCCACGTCCTGTCATAGCCACTATACAACAAAACGCTACCAAACACCCCCCCCTGAAAAACGCGAGCGCCGTGGGCCTTTCGTTCCACTGAACGTCCCCCCCTTCCCCCTTGAGAAACCTATCCACGCCCTCTATCAGTCTAGCTATGAACAAATATGCAAACAGCATGATACATATCATTGACATGGCAGCGGTAAGCCTCCTTGTGGAGAGAGTGAGAGAAAGAGAGAGAGAGAGAGAAACAGAGAAACAACGAGAGAGAGAGAGAGGGATCTATATATATATAGAGAGAGAGAGAGCATTTAAGCACCGAGAGAAACCAATCCTGAGAGAAATATGTGTATATATTATCATGTAGATAGAAGGGCAAGACAAGAGAGAGATAGACGATGATACATACACAAAATATCAAACGACAACGACAACAATAACCCGGACGATCGAGAGAGAGAGAGAGAAAAAGAGGGAGAGAGAGAGAGAACGAGAGGCCATCCTCTTACTTTTGAGCTGTAGGACACGTCCAAACTCCGGGCCCGCACACTAGACACACCCCAAACGAAACCTTACTTTGCAAACTGAGTCGGCGTATGTAGTTGTAACGTTCCAGCTGTTGGTCGTCAACTTTGAATTATCAAACGGGAATGTACATGTAGTTTCGAACAAGGCCCACCCGTCTGTAAATGCTGGAGTTGTTGTGCGAGAGCTGCACACAACACCAACACAACATCCCCCATTTTGAAAACCAGCCGGCGTCCGCGCTTGCAAATGCAAGGGGGCATGTGCAACGAATGGGCACAGCGCCAAGGCAAACGCCTCATCTTGAAAACCAGGCGCCTTCAATATGTGAAGCTTTTATGCGAAGGTGCGCAGCGCCGCGCCGACGACCTCAGTGCGAAGTCTGGCCGCTTCGTCCAGCGGTTGGCAACGTTGAAGACGAATGCGAGGGCCAATTGAGAAACGCCCCTCCCCCCGCCCGCATAGGCGATGGAAGTTTCGGGCTTGATCGCCACGCGTGGCGGGGAAGTGCCGACGGGGAGAAATATTCATGAAGGAAGGGCGGGGGCGGAGGAGGGCGGAGGGGGGGGGGGCGCAAAAGGGGGAGAGGGGGACGCATTTTGATACTTTCGGTCTGTTACGACGGCCACATGGCACGCTCGCGCGACGAAGCGTGCACGCAGGGAGAATAATAGGGAGAGGGGGGGGGGGAGGCGGGGGGCCAGAGGGGGAGGAGGAGGAGGAGGAGGAAGAGGAGGAGGAGGAGGAGGAGGGAGGAGGAGGAGGAGGAGGAGGAGGAGGAGGAGGAGGAGGAGGAGGAGGAGGAGGAGGAGGAGGAGGAGGAGGAGGAGGAGGAGGAGGAGCACCGACCGATGAAAAAAATCAGTCGGGCCAACCCGGCCCGACCCACACCGTTGCCTTACGAGGATCCTGGCCCCGATCCTGGACGGTCAGCAGCAACGGCGACGGCGGCATCGCTGGGCGCAGGGCGGGTGGGCGCGCCACGCAGAAGAGGGGCCGCTCGAGGCGAGCGTCTCGCCGACGTCCGAAGTCGGGCGCCAAGCAGAAAGGCGATGGGGGGGGGGGAGAGGAGCGAAGGGACTGAAACGAGCAGTGGAGAGCGTCGAAAGCGAGGGCGACACTGAGCAGGGCATCTCTAAAGGGCGGGAAAAGATGGGGGAGGGAGGAAGCGAGAGGCTCACTGCAGTACTCCGGAGGCAGAACGCGAAGCTACTCAGTGGCAGCGGGGCAGCTGCAACAAAGAAGAATGTCATCGCCTCCGATAGCAAGACACCCCATGCGACAGGTCTTTGCTCCACATCGATATCTCCGATACGTGTTCCATCCATTAAGACTGAGTGTCGGGATATATTTGTTGGTGGTGCTCAATATCATGACTGCGAGTTCCAAAACAGGGGGAAGAACTGCGCGGGGCCACTGTTCAGCGCGAGGGCGGATAGTTGCAGTGATATGCTCGTTATGATAGATGCGCATGAGCTCGTCGGCGACCCATTTCTGAACCTCGCGGGGGTGTGGGGTTTCTGGGAAGCTGCGAATTTGATAAAACACATGATTGGTATAAATTACGCGCGTCCGCAATAATAACAATCTTGGCCATGGGCCGTTGCCGCCGCGCAGCGCAGACGCGGCTGGATCCGGGGCGGAGAAGGTCAAGCTCGCCAGTGGGCCCGTCGTGCTTCAAAGCCGCGCTGCTCGCGGCGGCAGCTCTGGAAAAGGCGGGCGCGAGCATGGGCGCCGAGACGCGGGGCGCGGACGTCGCGACCCAATTCGCTCAGTGAGTGGAGCCGGGGCGGCGGGGGGGCGCGCCGTGGACACCGCGCGAGGAGCTGAAGCGAGCCCTCCTCCACGAGACGAGCGCGAGGGGGAGGGGGTGGAGCTGGGCGCAGTGGCCGGCGGCGGGGGAGGCATAACAGTGTCGTGTGCCTGGATTTGCGAAGGCTCTTGACGCATGGACTCCTCTCCTTCAGCGGGGCCATTGCAGGCGCCCACACCTGGCGCGCCAGCGCCTGCTCCAAGGTGCCCGCCGACTCTCGCGAGGGTGAATTTTCGGGCCCGGGCGCCGGCGGAGCGGAGCGCGCGAGACCTCATTGCAAAAATGACCGCGGTCAGGGATCACGAGTTGGCATTGGGCCATGTTCAAAATCAGCCCAGTCGCGCGACCAGTCTCGCATAGAACCTTTAGGGCGCCAGGTGGCAGGGCGATGAGATCCGCGCTCGTCGCTCGTGTCATCGGCGAGGGCATTCAACGCGATGGGGGGCGCGATCGGCTCGATCCTGAAGTTGACGCGAGATGGGGTCAAAACGCGCGCTGAATATAATGCCGCCAAGGGGGCGTCCTTTCCTAGCACCTCTTTGGGCCGAGACGTGATGATGCTGGGGCCCGCGGAAGACACTGGGCATCAAACAATCGAAATGCAAAGCAATAGTGGACCTCGCGATTAACTCAGGGGTCTTCAGCGCCCGCGAGACAGCCC